TGCTTTGCTAATCCTCGCCTTTACGTCTGCATCTGAGCCTCCTTGTTCATCGATGATGCTTCCCAGATATGTGAAGGATTCTACATCTTCCAGAGTTTCGCCATCAAGAGTGATTGGATTGCTGTTCTCCGCTTTGAATTTGAGGACCTTAGTTTTCCCTTTGTGTATGCTGAGGCCTACTGATGCAGAGACTGCTGCTACACTGGCTGTCTTCATATGCATCTGTTCGTGTGTACGTGATAGGAGGGCTAGGTCATCTGCGAAGTCCAGATCGTCTAATTGGTTCTGAGCTGTCCATTGTATTCCATGTTTTCCTTCAGATGTTGAGGTCTTCATAATCCAGTCGACCACCAGGAGAAAAAGGAAGGGAGAGAGTAAACAGCCTTGTCTGACTCCGGTCCTTACTTGGAATGCATCTGGCATCTGTCCTCCATGCACTACTTTGCACTGTAGTCCGTCGTATGAGTTCCGGATTATATTGACAATCTTCTCAGGAATTCCGTAGTGTCGAAGAAGTTTCCATAACGTCCTCCTGTCTACACTGTCGAATGCCTTTTCATAATCAATGAAGTTGATGTATAATGATGAGTTCCACCCAACTGATTGTTCAACGATGATCCGTAGTGTTGCAATTTGGTCTGTGCACGACCGGTCCTTACGGAATCCAGCTTGTTGATCTCGAAGTTGGGCGTCTACTGCATCCTTCATCCGGTTCAGCAACACTCTGTTGAAGACTTTCCCTGGTATTGACAGTAGTGTTATGCCTCTGTAGTTTTCGCATTTGCTCAGATCTCCTTTCTTTGGAATCTTGACGAGGTGTCCTTCTTTCCAGTCCATCGGCACTTGTTCCTCCTCCCAAATCTTTTTGAATAGAAGATAAAGCATGCTTGTGGTTGTTTCGATGTCTGATTTCAGTGCTTCAGCTGGTATGTTGTCGGGTCCTGCTGCTTTCCCGTTCTTGATTTGTCTGACGGCCATTCTAATTTCTTCCGTAGTTGGTGGATTGACATCTATAGGAAGATCTATGTGTGCTGCTTCGATGTCCGGTGGATTCATTGGAGCCGGCCTATTCAGGAGTTCCTCGAAGTATTCTACCCATCTGTTACGTTGTTGTTGAATTTCGGTGATTGGCTTGCCTTCTTTGTCTTTGACCGGCCTCTCTGGTTTACTGTATTTTCCTGCTAGTTTCTTCGTTGTATCGTGAAGCTGTTTCATATTTCCTTCTCTAGCAGCTTTTTCTGCCGTCGTTGCTAGTTCTTCAACGTATTTCTTCTTGTCGGCTCTAATGCTCCTCTTCACTTGTTTGTTTGCTTCTATGTATTCAGCTTGTGCTTGGACTTTCTCTGTTCGTGTTCGGCTGTTGTTAATTGCTGTCTTCTTGTTCTTCCTTTCTTTGATCTTGTCCAGTGTTTCCATAGAGATCCATTCCTTATGATGGTATTTCTTTAGACCGAGAACCTCTTGACACGTTGAAGTTAATGCTTCTTTGATAGTTTTCCAGTTGTCCTCCATAGTAGTTTCTTCTTCTTTCAGTAGATCCTGTAGTGCTTCGAACCTGTTGTTGAGAGCTATCTTGAATTCATTGAGTTTGACAGTATCTCGAAGGAAGGCTGTATTGAACCTTTGTATTGCTGTTTGTCCACTTGTCCAGTTCTTTTTTAGCTTCAGTTTCAAATTGGCTACAACTAGGTGGTGATCTGAAGCTACGTCAGCACCTCTCCTGGTTCTCACATCTTCCATTGTCCTTCGGAATTTTTTGTTGATGCAAATATGATCTATTTGGTTCTCTGTAGTGTGGTCCGGTGAGATCCATGTAGCCTTGTGTATACGCTTGTGTGGAAATATTGTGCCTCCTATGACCAATTTGTTGAATGCGCATAGATTTGCAAATCTTTCTCCATTTTCGTTTCTTTCACCCAGTCCATGTCGTCCCATAATATCTTCATATCCAGTGTTGTCTATTCCGACTTTGGCATTTAGATCTCCCATTAGAATGGTGAGGTCCTTTCTTGGGCATTTCTCTATCACTGACTGCAGCCGCTCGTAGAATTGATCTTTAATGTCGTCGTTGCTATCATTGGTGGGTGCATAACATTGGATAATATTCATTAAGATCCCCTCCTTCTTTGTTTTGAATGATGCTTTGATGATTCTGGATCCGTGAGATTCCCATCCTACAAGTGCATTTCGTGCTACTTTGGACAGCATAAGAGCGACTCCCTGAGTATGTGGAGCATTGTCCTCTTCGTGACCGGAGTATAGCAGCATCTCTCCCGTAGCTAGCCTTTTCTGTCCAGCTTGGGTCCAGTGGGTTTCGCTGATTCCCAGTACTGCTAAGTTGTATCTCCTCATTTCCATTGATATTTGACTGGTCTTCCCGGTTTCCCACATTGTTCGAACGTTCCATGTACCTATAAAAATTTTTGCTCTGGTTGTTAGAAGGGGCATCGGCCTCGTGGCTTCCGAAGGAACTCGGCTTTCACCATGAAGCGTCATAATTCTTCTAAATGAAGACCTTCTAACTCCCAGTGCAGAGTTAAAATGGTTTGGATTATTTTTTCTGGTAAGCGTTTTTTTAGCGAGTTAGTTTTCTACGGGATGGGGACGCTAACCCCATGCCCAACCCTCCTCCTTTACCCGGGCTTGGGACCGGCAGCAACCCTATAAGAGCTACAGGCGGAGTTTTATGAAAGTTAGGGATATTTTTATAAAATTGATCGTTTTCTTTTTCCGAACTGCAGTTGGTTTGAACACTGTCAGAGACTGGAAGGATGTAACGGTGTTTTTCTTTGTCGTGTTGGGTTCATACAATACTATTCAAGTGGACGGCGCGGCGCGCAAGCAAAGGTGCAGTCCAGAAGACCTCGTTTTGCTTTTGGATTAAACTAAATAGTTACACAATTTAGGAGGGTGACTGTATAGCGTAAGCTATAAGTGCTTGAGGCCGGTTACACGCGACCTTTCCATGAGGATTTTTAATATGTTAGCTCTATACTTTGAAAGGCATTCCCTTCTCAGTCCGAAATTTTTGATACATGATGAAGTGTGATATATTTGTAACCTGTCTTCTCTAACCCCTTCTTTCTATTGTCGAATGAGGTGATCTCTGGAGATCCTGGTTGTTGCGATCATATTCCAGTACAGTTTTCAGTATAACGTTCTTCAACTGAACCGTCTCGCGTAGTTGGACCTCAGAGGAACGAGCGTTGCCGTTAATATTCTTCTGTTGGGTCACTACGGCAGGTGAACGCGATCATCATACCGATGTGGAAATCTCCGGTAGGGACTTATTATCATCTAAGTTGCCGCGAGATCGTAGCTTGATAACGTGTGAAGTTGTGAATGTGTGCTATTGATAAGTTGTCAATATGGCCGAAACAGTCACCAATAATTCTGTGGCAGTTTTCAGTAGTGTTTTAGGTAAGACCAGTTAATGATAAAATTGATTTCAAAATAACATCTTGGTTTCTAATTATGAAAGGGATTGTCTTACTGTATGAACAGAAATTTGTGCTGATATTGTGAGCTACTGGCTTGTACACCTAACATGCTAATTAATTGCACACAATGATTATAACCACCTTGTTCCAAACTATTTGGAACATGATTAAACTTAGAGTGACTAATACTGAACTAAGCTCATTATTATTGTATTTCTATGTCACTCGAATGTTTCTAAATCAATTGTGCAATAATCGATAGTCTAGTGCGTGATGTGTTGTCTTTATTTGAACATAAACAACATTTGAAAGACAAAATAAATCCATAAAAAAATATACCGCTAGTATTTTAACAGTTTATTCGATTAATAAACTGTCAAGTGAGTGCATATTTTATAAAGTTAACTATATAGTTATTCATTTCAAAGGGAATATTTCGAGATGTTTTATTATCACTGTATTAATTACTGTTTATATTTGACCAGATATTATGGTTATGAATATAATTGGTAATGTTAGGACCGATTTGTCAATGATTTGTTTGTCAACGTGTTTAAATCAGGTTAACTGCTTTTGTGAAAGTACATACATAAGCCTTACCCATAACTCCTTCTTTTATTAATTATGTACCTTCATGGTTATGACAGGTTATCAGATCTATAAATAGCGCTATGATTTCTAATCCGGAATATAGAATAAGATTTTTCGGTTCATACCAGGTATCGAATAATTCACTAGACGGTAAAAATACTCCTCCATCATATCGTAAGTGCCATTGTGTACAACTAGAAGAATTCTTACTTATGAAGATGAATGTTCTGAGTATCCTTAATTTTTTTAATAAGTTTTGTTAACTGATCAACAGTTCCTTTTAATATTCAGACCACCCTGTTCGACAACCATCATCGTAAAATCATAGTGACTGCTCAATAATATAGATTACTGAAATCTAAACAATCCAATGGACTGCGTTATACTTTATGTAACTTTCTAAACATTCCTAGCGTGTAATTAATGTATTTATGTCAGATGTTACGTTGTAAGTGAAACCAGCCATGAATATGAACAAAGGTGTAAAAACTGTAACGTTTATGTTACTTTCATGTAACCTTGTATTAATGAAACCGTGCATATATATGTACAGTAAAGTTTAATTTTAATCTTAGAGATGTGTTTATTTATTCATTCGTAAAAGGTTATTCTTAATTTCAAGTGAAATCATTTTAGATGACCGCTGATGAATAATAGCACAAAGTGTAAATACATTTGTAATTTTGTGCATTGTAAACGCTAAAATGAATAAATAAATCTTAAAATTTATTCACTAAATCACTGTACATACTTGGAAGTGTTTTCATTTATTACAAATGATTTATTAACATGCCTGTCATTGTTTTTTTTAAATTTTTATTAAAGTGTTTTTGTTATTTGTCTATCGAATTATAAACTTACTATTGTAAGAGGATATTGTAAATATATATAGATGTATCCTATTATTTGTGGAACGAAGTATCTTGAAGTGTTTAACATTGTCTATTTAATTATTTATTTGTTTTACAGGAAGATCCTCTTGAACCTGCACTTAAACTTATCCCAGGTTTTTTCGGCACAGTGGTTCTGGTCAATAGTTTTTCAATATTTTACGAAGGACCTTCATGTACGTTAGCTGCAAATTGTCATCGATATTTTCATTAAAACGACAGTTGTTACGTTTGTTGTAATAGATATTTATTTAAGTGTTGAAGTTGTTTGATAATTTGTCAGTGATAAAAATAATTATTGGTGTATTTCGCGGTTATTTTTATAATGTGGATTGTTACTAAAATGCACTACAGAACTTATTTGATGGTAGCTTTCTGGACATTTTACTTAAATCTAGCACGAAATGCACTTGACTGAGATAAGTTAACTAGTTTTTTTTTCAATGCTTTTATCCATTCGAATCAAGTTTCCGTATAGTGTATCGGTTTAAAGTGTTTATATAAGTAGCGATTTCTATGCACAAAATTGAACTATACGAACGGTATAGTAAGAATAATGAATTAATCTAGAATTGCTCTGACAAATATACCTTTCAGTTATCTGGTAGTTTATGGTGTTGGCTCTAATGCAAGCGAAAATGTTTTTAATGTTTCTTCGATATTTATATGAAAGTCAGCAAAGTAGGTATGTTGAATGGAGTATACGAGTTAGTGCATTATAATTCTTGTCGCAGTGTTGTCAACTCACCTTAGTAAATAATTAAATATTAAAGTGAACATGAGCGTGCGGTGTTTGAAGCAAGCAGTACTTGGTTCGAGTTGTTGAGTAAAAGACCAACACTAGGATTCGGTCACATTGGGCAATAGAGTCCTAAAGGGAAAGAGACGCGCATCAATACCTTTGATAAAAAGATCAAAGTCGATTGATCATAATATCATTTTTATCCACACAAACAAATACTTGGATAAATAACAATAATATCAGTTATGTTCTTCTAAATTAAGTTTGTCAATTTTTTCTTGAAAAAAGGTTTCTATTTACAAAACAAATTATCACTGTATTTCACTTCCTTACTTTTTTTCATTCGGATTTTACCTAAGTTGTGTTAGTTTTTTCTCATTGAATTTGACAACGACTGTATTGGAATATTACAAGTAAGTTGTAAGTGTTTATCTTCCGTGATATTGACCAGCGCACTAACATCGCGTCAATAGTTCATGAAAGAAGACATGGACGGAATTTGGTTGATTCTGATATTCTTATTGTTTAACAAATAATTTGGAAACATTTTACACTACTGAATTAAATAACCTGTATAATTTCATATAGAGGTTTGGTACATAAATTTAAAGTATTACAGTTAGATTGTTCCTTTTTATTTATCTCTTTGTTTATGCGTTCAATCCTACTCAATATGTGGATTGATGTGTATGTTGGTATTTGATAAATATTCCAGGTTCTATTTCTATATAAGCTTGAATAACCGATAGTGTGAATTTGTGATTGATACCAAATTTAAAATGACAAGAGTGTTTATACTACTATGGTGTTGATAAGAATCATAAGTACACATGGTATGCGTGAAGTCCATTAGAATGTATACAATAAACGTGGTATGATGATTTTACCATTTCAATCAACTTCATTTAATATAAATATCCTATGTTTTTCATAATAATTGTATATTTCCGTCTAGATTACTACAATAACTGTTTCTCTCATATATAATAATTAAATTGTTATTGAAAATATGTTGATATTTGAAATAATTATGGATGTAATTAATTACTTTATATTTTTGTGTATTTTTTCCAGTTTCCAATCTACTTACATTTGTATGAACAGTCGATTATCAACTAACCCTATCTGAACTACATATACACATGCTTGTGTTTTTCCTCTTTTGTAGTGCTGAAATTCGATAGGATACCTCTTTATGGAATATTTATAATTAGCTGTGGTTTAGGTATTATCACTGTTCTACTTGTGAAGTTTGTTTGGGTACCTTTGGTTCGTCGACATATTTTAAGTAAGTCGTTACTCTAGTAATCTGATGTATTCTATTGTGACTGTAAGATTTAGCTTGCCGTAAATGGACAGAGAGTAGACTGTGTTGAATTATGCAATTATATATTCCAGTCACCAAATGTGATTCGTGTGCTTTGATTTTGGTGAGATTGTGAATGCATACCACTGAAGATCCAAGGTTTATGTGAAATGTCCCTCTATTAACCTCTGAGTTTTCGGCACGTGTATCAACGAAATAACTTTATGCTAAAGGTTTTCTCCTGATGTTTGTTTTTATTGATAATCGCTTAAGCCTTTTGATGCTCGTTAAACAATAATCACTGATTTTTCTTGTTGATCAATTGAACTAGCCAGACAGGACAGTTTATTTATAATCTATGTGACTTCATAATCACTAACGTCATAAACGGATGAGCAGACGAATTAAAGGAAGCTGAATCTCATCTGACGTCACACATTTCAAATAAGTCATTGTTTGCTGTGTCAAAGAGATAAAGAATGGATTAAGTGACAAATACCACACTTTATTTGTCGCAACGCGCGGTGTCCGTGACTTGATACCGATACCATAGTCTTTCTATATGCGAACGCGACTACTCAAGAGAAGATATGGGTAGTAAGAATGGAAGTTGATTTGGTGAAATCGACTCATATGCATGTGCACTTATGTGTATATTCCATAGGTAATGAGGTGTACCAAAAGGTTTGTGTGTGATCCTTTGAAAACGAAAGCATTTATCGGCCAGTCACAACCATTTATGATTTGAGGATTTCCGATTGACCCGTTGTAACAGTATTTTCCAAATAACTATTTTGTTTGAAACTGATTAGTTACAGAATATACTCACTGCTACTGACTGAATAAGTTAAGCACTACATTGAGAAGCTAATAAACAGAATAAATATGAATCTATATCATCAAATGGGAGTTTTTTTAAGAAAAGTAATTAAACTTCTGTTTTCTTGACCAGTTAATTTCGTCGGCAAAATATAAATGTAAAACCTAACCACTTATATTGTGAGGTTATTGTTTTTCTTACTCAATTCCTCTATCTTTGAACACTTGACGTTTATCTTTATCGATTACGGAAGCTGTGATTTTATTTTTCATGATAAAGGATTGAAGGGTTCTAGTGAGAAAACTGGAGAATCTCCCGTAGGTTTTGTGTATCTTGGATTATCACTGATAAATGTGATGACTTAAAATAGTTCAGTGATATAACTGTCCATCCTTCTGGATTAGATTATATCACTGACTATTGATTGAGGCCAGCTAAATCACGTGATCATTGCGAATAAGCATTTCACTGAATGATTGTTTTTCTGCAGAAGAGTAACAGAAATATAAGATGCTATACTACATGTGGATAGTAGGTCGTATGGTAGCTGAGAAATTAAGGTGATATTCAAACTAGGAAATAGTTAAATAAATTTAAATACAGTGCAGAACAATCCTGTACAAATGTTTAAATACGTTTCGAAGGAGAAACGTAATTATCGCAGATTAAGATCAAATGAACTTAACTGTTGGTCAAAGATAGTTTACTTTGAGATTAAAATCACAGATATTATCATCTGTTTGCCTGCGTTCAGCTGACAACAATTCATATAAGGAATGACTTCTTATTGTTATAACTTGTGAACCTGTGTGCCCTGTCTGTTGTATAATGCCACGATACCGCCAATCAGAGAGCAGCGAATTATCGACCGAACCAGTGACGCATAAAACACGTGCGAGCAGCCTAGAGTCCTGATTGGTCCTGCTTTATGCCTGGCCCAGCCAGTTGAATCCAGAACATCAATCTCAGCCTCTGCAATACGAATCATTTATTTCAAGCATACTGGGTTTATATATCAACCAGACAGACCACATGTACCATAAAACATGAAAGAACATTTGTACAAGAATTAGCCAAATGTGGCTGTGAGTGAGAGAGATAGTAATTGATAGACTGGGCATAACTGAAGAATGGTAAATCGTATATTAATAGTTCATAGGTCAAAATAAAACTCATAATAAGGGGGACATGAATATGAGCAATTTAGTTACATAACAGTTATACGATAAAAATATACTCATAGTATTGGTCCATAAATGGATCCCAAAAATTACCATTCATTATTCTTATCGGGACATAACACGTACAGATTTATTATTATATAATCCGATCTATAAATGTGTATACATTTAAGAGGTCTTTTCGAATTAATAATTAAGATATTTCGGAAGTAAGAATGAATTAAACAGCTTTATAACTTCATGTTTCATTTTCAGTGTTATGACTTTAAATTCTTACAGAACTGTGTTTTAATTTTACAAAAATGAAACCTGACTAATACACGGTAATAAACCTGTTTCGATTTTTCTTTAATGTGTGATAAATGGAGTAAAATGTTGTTGTGTTTCATTGACGCTATAGATTCGCTTACAACAACTTACAGATTGTACGTAATTTTTACATTGACTAAAATATTCGGCTAATTCAGTGTTCATGCATTTTTATAGCTGGAGAATCGAGTAGACATATTTTAAAAGGCTATTTTTCCCGTAAGAGCAAAAAGAAATTGTCAGTCGCTGTAGACGATAGGTATCAATCTGTTGAGGATAATAAATCTTCCAAACTTTCAAGCAGTAATCATGAATCGATTGATATGGATACGTATGTACCTCGTGCAGAGGGAGAGGCTGTGGTTGGATTTCGAAACAATGTTGCCAAAGGTAATACAGATGACAAAGACAAACTTGGACGAGTTACTAATGAAAATAATGGTGTATTGCAGGGATTAGAAAATCAAAATAAAGTTTCAAGTCGTAAGTTTTGTTTTGTAAAATAAAGCCTCACTTGCGTTATCCCCAAGGTTGGATTGACACGAAATTCTTAACCATTTACATGGTTAAAATCTCATGGAGATTAGATGCAGATATATAGTTATATATACTTTGTAAAGCACAATTTGGTGACAGTAATTTATTATGATTATCCTTATGAATTTGGATAAAAGCAGGCTGTTAGTTAAAACAGAAATATGTGGATATAGTATTTCATGGATTCTATTCATTTACGATTGTGTTGAGATATAAAATTAGTCATAGCACACAAACAAAGAGCTGAAATGGGATGTTATCATTGATGTTTTCTATAGATACATGTTGTAAAGCCCACCTGAAGATCAGCATAGAAAAATACGATTAAAGAAGCTTGCTAAGATGAGTTGTGTGACAGATGTACGAAACCTAAAAGGATTTACATAAGTTTGAATAATTGGGTTAGTGGGAATCACTCAATAATTGTAAAAGTATGTTTTGGAGTGTATGGAATAACAAGTAACTTTCTAAAGATCGCCTAAATGATCATAATTATAATATCAACGGAAACGAAAGTATTATTGAGTGGGTTTTATGGTGATTGGTTTAATTTGAAGGTGGCATTCGTCACAGTTTGACCTCAGTCGGTATACCATTAGTAACCAGAGGGGGTTGGGTACTGAACGTTAGTTTAATCGTAGTATGGGGCTCCACGACTATGCTCACTTACACTTATATATCCATATTTGAATGCTTTCTAAATATCGTCATTCCTCTTTGTTAAGTATATATGACGAGCTCTCAACTTCGATTCACAGTTTCAGTACAAGCGTGAATCGTCTACGTATGCTGATAGTGGTTGGTTGATTAGACCATATCTGATATAAATAAGCTGCAGTCTACTTTGTCACATTTACAGGATGAAAGAAAATGAAGTATTTTCCTGTAGATTAAATTTGTTTAGAAATAGTGACATTTAGATTGTAAGTGTAAACTACATTTCTCAAACGTGTAAATAGTTAATTTTAGAAAAATGCGATTACCTAACCTGAATGAGAGCAAGTTCTGTGAAATTCAAACGTCTAAGTAAAAGTGTTTCAACATCATTAAAAGAAAATAAGCCGACTGTTCACCCTATGTACTGTTTCTCCAAGTGTTACGTAATCGGTATAAAATTTCAATGTCAGTTGTTAATAAAAAAGGATTAGTTACACACTGTTCACTTCATCGGTGAAGAAATGTTTCTACAAAAATGTATACACAATTTAGAACACTTGCTCTTGAGTAAAACACTTTATGAATATGTCAATTTTATTGTATATATTTCTGTCAAAATGTTTTTTTCACATTATTTCTTGTGAGTAACACCGGTTATTATTATTATTATTATTATTATTATTATATTACTATTATTATTATTATGAACTTCTCTGAAATTGTATAGAAGTGGGCACTGTTTATTAAAATTAATTAACTTTACTGTGTACTTCTAATGATTTAACTTGTTATTTTACTTATAAGTAATAGGAATATAGTGAAGAAAATGTTTATTCTCTATAGAATGTTGTTAGGAATGATTACATAGAAACGGTTAAACTATGTATGATAAGTGGCTTCATTTTATTTAGAGTAAAGTGAAGTGACCTCATGTGAAATCGTTATCAGTTTATCACTTATTTTATAGAACATATATTTTAGTGAAATTAAGTGTTGCTAAGTTTTATTTGGCCTGATTTATATACTGACACACAGTTGGCTTCTCAAGAAATCAAGATAATTTCATAGTGTAAATAAAATAATAAATTTTTCCCATGATTATATCCAAAGTGAAATCTTTATATTACTATTATTATTGTTATTACTATTATTATTATTACTACTGCTATTATTATTATTATTATTATTATTATTGTTATTATTATTATTAAGACTACACTGAACCTAGTAAATGTTAATGGATCAATGTATATAAATGTAAACAACCCGTTTTTAGTGCTATTTGATTTGGTTATACGTTGCAATGATTGACATGAATTTACTTGTTTTGGCAAACCTAAATCTTCCCAAACTTAATCATGTCGCATCATTTTTATTCTAAGTTTATTCTTATTTGTATGCGATTTTTATATCTGCTCCCTTCTTTTTACATTTCTTTCATATGTTCCATAGATTTCGAAGTGAAACCAAGTAATCTAGATGAAACAGTTTATAAAAGAAATCAGTTAAATAAGGTTTTGGATTATTCACCAAATGATCAAAATGCCATCACGGATGGTAGTCATAATTTAACTAATGGTAAAATGAATGTATCATTTCCTCCTAACCTGTCTACAATTGGTGAAGTGAGTATTGTGATTTAGTATTTGTCTCCCTTTACTACTGTATCTTTTGGGATATACATATACCTTAATTAAATTACTAGATAGTGTTGAATGGTTACTGTATATCAACAAATAAGAGGAAAGTGAATATGCATAGTTTAGTTACTTAACAATTATACAATAGAAATGTATGTATAGTGTTAATCCATGAATGGATCCCAGCAGTTAGCATTCACTATTCTCATTGAGACATATCAGGAGGCTAGCACAAATGAACATCCAACCAAGTTGGTACATTAAATCAGTCAGTGGTTTCGATCATTGCACATAGCCCTACAAAGTTGTATCCCAGTGTCCGTAAATGGACTTCATTATGATTGAACGACACTGATCCTGGTGACATGTATATCCATGCTGAAAAGAAGTAGTCTGAACTATGCTGCAAATAAGTATTTTGCATGATATCATTTGTTTCAACTGAATGATTAGACCAATTTTAAGCCTATATATTGTGACGTATAACACATGAAATACATTGTTAATATTTTTGCTACATATAATCTTCACTTAATTATTACTAATTCTTCTGGATATAGGAACCAGATCCTATCGATTCAGTTAAAGATCGTCCTGCTGAAGCTCAAGTTTTCTCTTCTTTACAAATTTTAACAGCTGTTTTTGGATCATTTGCTCATGGTGGTAATGATGTAAGGTATGGATATTTAACATATTTTTTCAATAAATCAAACTGTGTATATAAGAAAAATTCACTTATATTACTACCATTGAAGTATATTCAGTAATCAGAACCTAAGATTATTTATAATTGGTATAAAATATGAGTTGAATCTCCACAATGGAATATTAGCGTTTATAAACTGAATAGAGTTTCAAGAAATGGTGTAACACGTTACAGTCTGTCCATTTTATACTTATTTGATAGTTGTTTACGAAACGAAATCAGTTGACGCTATTTTAGGAGATGAAATATAAAATCTAGAAAATTCTAGATATTACAAAGATAATATCTATCATGAGACCAGTTTAGAAAGCTTGATTTTTCACAATGGTTAAATTATTCCTAGTTATCATTTGACAGTTACTCTCTTCCATTTATTCAGTGTTAACACTTTGTTTCTACTGTGTAGGATTATCAGAAAAAAATTGCTGGAAAAGAATAATTGAAATGATTGAAGATGTCCTATTTGTTCATACTCACATCACTTGTAGCTATCTGTCATTGCCAAGTTATTCAATAGTAACTAATTTATTCAACTGATTACAAATATTTCCTTAGTAAATAAAACATTATTCATGATATGTAAAGTTTGATCATGTTGCTAATCAGAACAGTTTACATTTTGAGAAGAAGATAGTGGAAAATATCTGTGATGATATTCATTCTGATATCCATTGTTATTATTATTATTATTAAGCAATAATCGTTTGCAATTTCTGAAAACGAAAGAGGATTTTTATAATCTCTGTTTGACACTGGTATATAGTTTTAACAAAAAATCGAAGAGGTTATTTAGGTACTTGATAATGCTCTGTGTTTTTGTTTGAAGAAACCTAATTTAATTTCAGCATTGTTCGTGTTACGTCTTTGATCTGTTTACCGAATAATATACGGGTGAGAACATGCCTCGATGTAGATTAAGACCTTGACACGAGAGGCTAACTGGTTTTATCTTGAGGCTAGAAATGTATGAGTCCAAATTAAAACTAACAGCATTGAGCAGAGGGACGAAAACCATCTTATGACGTGATTGGTGGACAAGCGAGAGAGAAGATGAGTCAATCGGAATAAGAGACTTTCTGGAAATGGCTGGCTTCTACTCGAGAACAACTGTATTTTCTCCACGAATGTCTTCGTGATATGTCTTGTTGTTGGAATGCTACTTTTTGTATCTGGTCGTCGCTGATTGTTGTGTTGGAAACACTTATCAGTTATACGCGAAACGAGAGACCTCTGCGATTCCCACGACGCGAATGCAAAAACACAAGACTGGCATAAGTGATGATTTATTAACCCCCAAAACACGACGACGACTCTAATCGAAAATACACTCACATTTATATATTAATTTTACATACACTTTGAATAATAACTAGGATGAAAGCACATATATGGAAAACACTTAAAGTCATATGCTAAGTGTCATCCTGAGCATAGTTCATGTCAATGGAATACAAGAATATCTTATATTATACATAATAAAATATCATACGAGAAAAGAAAAGAAATACTACATTGAGTAATCATTACATTGAATCAAAACGGAAGTAATCTTGAACAAAACTCATAATGAGTAAATCAATCGGATTTCGACTTTTCTTCCCGTGCAATGCTATCCGGTATTGGAGATGGTTGGAAGAAAGTTAGGGGCGGCCTAACCAAAACGTGGCATCAGTGCTTGAAGTCACTAACTTCTGGTCTTAGCCATGTTGGTAGATGCAGACTACTTGGTTGGGTTCCGCGTGACTATCGTAACCAAAGGTTGGAGACTCTTGGTGACATGGCTCAGAATCGTTCACAGTGGCGTCGGTGTATACACTCCCTGTCTTCCCTTAAACTAAGAGATTAAAATCACTTCATATCTTTCTTTCTACGAACCAATTCTTTCTTCTTGTACTATATCTCTATATGCAATCTTTTTCTTATATATTACCACCTTTGACCTAACCACTGCTGTGAATTCGGTGTTCATCTTGTTGTGCTGATGCAGTATGGCGACCTGGACCGATGCACATATGTGCCTGGTCCTACGTTGTAGCTGACTGACTGACTGACATATAGCTTCGTCCAGCTCAGAGAACAAAGCCCCTACAGGAACACTACTCGATTTATTTCCGATCGCCACGTCCCAATGCAAATCAGTGTAAAAAAGGGTGTGGTAGTGAATCATACATCAAACGAAAGCTCATGGTTCATAGAGTAGGTTAGAGACAAAACTAAATGTTAGTATTTTACGAAGTTTGAATTAACCGAAATAACGTCTCCATAAATAGCTTCCGTTGTCTGTCATGGTTTCGTTGTTTTTCTGTTCACGTTCGATCAGAATTGTAATTTTTTTATTCTTTAGGAGATCACAGTATTCCTGTACGTTTGCACATCTTTTTACATAAAATGAATGACATATATGTATGCCCTTCTTTTTTCATACACCATTTGTAATATCACATTTTTAAAGGAGAAAGCGTATTCAATAAGAATTATGCTTCGTAGAATTGAAATGTGGAATACGTAAGGGTCTAAAGCTTTCTTAAATGAAATGAGATACTTGTACGTTAGATTTGAATTACGGATCTTTTATGAATTTCTGGTATATCAAAGTATAAATCCGCTTTAGGCTAAACTAACATAAATTTTATATGCTGTCACCCATTCGGTGATTTAAAGATATCGTGGTGAACATTCGAATCATACAAAGTTTTCATGAGGAAGATTGGTAGTCATTATCATTTTCAGACTACTCATTCAAAACAATAGTAGTGGTAACTTGTATCACTGCTAACCCATTATAAAACATGAAGTCCATGTTTAAACAATTCATTTAACATGTCAGTTTTTTATGGATTATTTTTTATGCAGTAATGCTATCGGGCCGTTGATTGGTTTATGGCTTATTGCCACAACACAATCAGTTGATTCATCGAAAACTACAGATGTTTGGATTTTGGTTTATGGTGGTGTTGGTATATCAGTTGGTCTTTGGATATGGGGTAGACGAGTTATTCAAACATTAGGTGAAGATCTGACGAAAATATCACCTTCCAGGTAGGTGGGTGATCTTTTTGCGCAGAAATATGTTTATTGTAGATATTGTACGTGTTTAATACCATCTTTCGATCAATTTGAATAGTTTTGGTTGTAATTTATATTTCATTTTTCATATTTATTGGAATGTTTTTATTTGCTTGATCTATGAAATCGTTTTTCACAACTGACACTTTATTTTAGGTCATAAGATTCATTCTCTGATGGAACAACAGCAAGTAAAAACACGAATTTAAAGAAGAATGTTGGATCACTGTGGTGGTGGGATGTAGTCGATGTAAATTCTTACCAAACAAGAACTTTTCTTCAGTAATCGACATCTTATTTGATTCTGACAGTGCACAATAAAGTGGTTTTTCAGTGTCATCTTTTTTAAAGTGTACTTTGTGTCCGCTGTGAGAGTCATCTGATGGGATGCAAAGAAAGTGAAATTATAACGAGTGTTTAGTATTTTTTAGTTTTTTGGTATAACTTACAATACTTTTCAGCTCGTCACTTAGTTAATATTCAGCGATCAAGACGTGGAGACAGTTGTGTCCCTTTTCTTCTGTTCCTTTTTTGAAGGAATTTATGGGGATCGTTAAATGTTCATAGCTTACATCACGCGTTGATTTTACTTAAGCAACCAGTATGGGACTGCTCGTTAATGAGCATCCTTAACCCCACTGAGGATCAAGTTTAAGGATTTAATTTCTTGAGATGAGCACTTAACCTTCAGACCACTTAGTTTGCATCTAATGGTTTACACCAACTGAAATCAATTAGCGATATTGTGCAACCACAATCCATTTCCTGTGATGGGTATCTGTCTCACACTTGACTGGTCACGCCTTCTCATTGGAACTCCTGGAAATTTGTCACTATTGAACACAACTATTATTGGTACGGCGTTTGTAGAAATAGTTGGATTGGTTTCGTTTATATACACTATATGTAGGTCGGGCGTAAGTGTATGAAAATGGAAGTTCAAGAAAACTCACCAATTCTTTACTATACATTTTCACTGAATTGTTTATTTTTATTATTAATAACATTAGTATCATTATTCTTTTATTTTGTTATCAGTGGTGTCTGTATTGAAATTGGTTCAGCCCTAACTGTATTAATTGCTAGTAAAATTGGTCTTCCAATATCAACTACACATTGTAAAGTTGGTTCAGTGGTATTTGTTGGACGTGCACGTTCTAGAGACAATGTTAATTGGGGTATATTTCGTAATATTCTAGTTGCATGGTTGGTAACCTTACCCGCTGCTGGTGCTATCTCTGCTTTACTCATGTATATATTTACATTTGTAGTATGAATTTAGTTTATTATTAATAAATATTTTATGATTAAAAAATCTGTTTTTATAAGTAAAATGAACGAACAGAATAAACTAAATCTCACAAATCATTAATGTAACTTCTTGTTTGTATCCTCATTCATTTTGAGCGAACTGATTGATTTTTTTCTGCTCACTTTTTCATTTACTTACTAGATTTCTATTGTTTTTGTTCTTTTTTTCGTTCAACACATCCGCTTGTAAACACATATGCACATACACAGAATAGAAAAACATTTACTTTTCTCCCTCGTTATCATTACTATTATTGTGAACTGATCTCGTATTAATTAGATAAATGTTCTTATTAGTACAAGTGGTGATGGTTTATTTAGTTGATGTTCTGTTTAAAAATAAAAGTCCCCTTAATCTCTTATCATCTTTATTACGTTCAACGTCTGTGGAAATAGTACCCTGTTCACCAGTTAACACTGTACACAGTTTACTCACATACATACACATAAACAGAGACAAGGAATAGTAAAAAAAAACAGATTTGTAGCAACATCCTTTTGAATTGTAACATAAAACATTATTATTTCCTTGTAATTTTGTTTTTATCAACTAATATTAGTGAAAAAATGTTTTATTTTTCTAGTTACTACTTCCTTGATAAGTTGTTTGTTTAATGAGCAGTTATTATTAATTATTAATTTATGATGTGATTCAATTAATTAATTAAGAGAACCTTTGAAAAATGTTTGTTCGGTTGTTTTTTTCCCCATGTTTCTTTATTAATCATATAAACTATAGGATAGATAGATTGAACTAATGATATCACTTTTTGTAAGAAATAAATCTTGGATTTGTTTCGATTAATGATGAAACGACGTTAATACATAGTAAAATGGTATTACATTCACTTTGAACACCATTATTTACAGTGGTGTTATTTTCTCTGAGCTGGATGGTTTCATATTGTATCTTAGATCTTGTTTCAATATACTGAGTTATCTCAAAATGTATCTTTACAGATAGACTTTTTAGTGGGTAAAAATGTACTAGTTGGATGATATTGTATTTTATCCAGTGAATGAATATAATTGTAGTGGGTAAGATAGGTATATTGAAATGATAATGGTTGTCAACGCTATGTGTAAAGTGAATAATACATATAAATGTATCAATAGTAGTTGTATGTATCTTTTATGATGGGAAGAGTGCTGATAATTTCAATACTGTAAGTAAATCATGATACTGAGGAGGAAAGGTGATTTACTGTGTTTGTTTTATGTCGGTTCCGAAGTATCTGAACTATACAGTTAACTAAGATTCCCTGCAAAAAAAACCCACCAAGTCCACCGTATTGTACGCGATTAACGAGGACGTGAAATGGATCTGAAGTTTTGGTCGTCTGTTTAGTGCAAGCTTTTTCAAAGAAGATAATCAAATATAAGTACATAGTTCACATGTCAATTGTATGCTAAACAAATTGTCCAATCATGTGAACAATGCATTAAGTGGGATTTGTTGTGGTGCGTACGAGTCACTTGGTATGAAAAGTATGGAAAATTGTAATAAGACAGCATGTGTATGTGTGCTTATGTAGATTTGATGTGACCCCATATCCCTCTGGTTATGATTGTTGGTGCAATTCAGTGATTTGATAGATGTCATAAAATCAACATGTCGCAGCATACATAAAATGAGGATGACTAGAGAAATAAATGTAAATTTGTGTTGTTGTGTTAAACAGACTGGTCGTTCATTGTATATTTGACAAATTAACTGATTAGAACAAATGAAAAATAGTAGTTATTGTCCACATAATGAAAGAAGTGAAATAAAATACAAATTGATCTATTGATTACTAGTTGCCATCGGGAAACTAATTGTATTCTATCTCTTCTATGTATATTGTTTGAGTTTGTCTATATATGTAGGGCTCCAGCTTTTAGTAGTCTTGTGCGAAACAAAACCTTTAGAAGGATTCTTGTGCCACTGAAGTCAGTTGTACATCTCAATTCTATTGAATATAATCATTTTGCCGACTTGTTTCCTAGATTCTTGAGGCCTTCTGAGCTTTAGGCAGAGTTTGTGTCTCTTCACCCGCGCACTGAGCCATCGTGATGTCTCGTTCACTTATACATCGTCATAGTCTTTACATTTGGTCACATAGACTCGATTTTGCTAGTTTAGCATTAAGAGTATTGTTCGTTCAACAATAAAAACACATATTGTAGTGCTTTAGGGTCACTCCGATTTCTGACGATTAACTATGTTGATCCATTCTCTTGGTTTTCTCTTCGTTTATCTTTCTGACCCTAATCATTCCTTTAAAAACGTCCTAAGGTTGGTTATTCATCAAAGTAGACATAAGCAAATCCAAACCAGCTTCTTTATCAACTAGTTCTGAGACGAGTTTCTGAACTCTGTTATCGGATTCGTAGCGACTCTCACCTTTGTAAAAGGAGCATGTGATGACTTGTAATCTAGATATGTTTCGGAATATGTTTGATTTTGGAATATAACAATGTTTAAACAATTATCACTCTTCCTCACAAGCAAACAGTCAATAAATGGCAGTTTACGATCAGTGGATCCGATTTCTGTAGTGTACTTGGTGTTATCAGATATACTGCTGACGTTTTTAGAAAATTCGTCTCAATCTCATTCGTAATGATAAATCGGTTATCTATATATCTCAACGAGATTGTAGGTGATTAGGGACAATTTGAGATTTCTCTCGTTTCCAATCAATGAACAAACAGGTTAGCCATATTTGCGGCTATCGGTGATCTCGCAACCAACAGTCGACCTTATTAATTGAAGTCACATCTTAGTTTGACTGCCTCTAGCTAGTAAAATTATTTAGTAAGTCGTATCTGGCAAAGCAGAGCATATAAGTTTTACGAGATTTTTCTCGACACATAAATTAGGGTCATCGACATTGAATCCGATAGGGAAAAGACCAAGTATACTATGTATCGCTCCAAATAATTTGGTTTTATCTATCGCATAACCACTGTGAAGCAGGTGCGCCAAGATAGAGTTGTGTATGGTCTTTGTCTGAACATTTCCTAACCACGAAGAGAAGCTCATTTGTATTGGTTATTTTAATTTCTCCCCCAGATGTTAAGAAGTGCAATTGATCGGTGCCCCACGGCATATGTGTATCCCAGTGAGTGAAAATCAACTCTCGGATGCAGGTATATCCAGTTGGTGAGTCCCAAATAGAGTGAAATGCACGTCCTCGATTCCACTGCTAGCCACCATCCATCTTTGCTTACAGACAGAGAGATGCTTACTCAATCGCTGATTAAATTTCTTGGTAGTACACTCAACAAATGCAAGCAATTTTACTGAGTTTTTGGGTCTATGGAGCTAAACTACAAATAAGGGTATAGTCATTGCATGTTTTGCCTGCATCGTTATGTGGTGGTTTAGCTTTAAGAAAATTTGAGGAATGTTTAGAAATAAATGGAGATATTTCATAGTATTATGGTTATGGATTGTTGACATTTCTTGGATAATTAAATCAAACATCCATTTGAACTGCTGTACCATACTAATCCAATGTCAGTAGTTCTCATGAATTTAATTACTCAATTACGTACTTTTGTTCTAACTTAAATGAAAAAGATATAGTCGTGAGAATGTATCGACTGTTTATTGGTGTGATTAATTTATGTGCCTATGACTGACAGATTTCAATGTTCTGCTCCCTGACTCGGATGAATACGGAAACACCTGACTAACTAGACTCACTTCTACAACTTGGGATATTCTTTTGTATTTATATCAGTATATTTACCTTCATTGTCTGTTTTAACTCTGATGAACAATCTTCGTTATCCTATTTCAATATTTATCAGATTCTGCTTATTATTTGGGAACTTATACAACGATACACAATTAGCGTATAGTGTCGACCGACCGGTTAAATTATGAGGAAGTTATGGATGAAATCAACTAAGTAACTTTTCTTTTGAAAACTTTACATAATCGCAAACCATTTTAATGAAGCTGGAACGTCATCATAGAGATTATTTAATTGTTTATAAAGGAATACGCATGGCATTTGTGACAAGGTCTTAATTTTGAAGAAAAAAACGTTTAATTAACAGCTGATTGACAATTAATGGTTGTTATTGATTTATTTACTCAAGGTCACCAAAATCACGTGTTTAAATACAGATACTAATTGGCGTATCATTGTATCAACATGAGAAAAAGTGTGCTTTTAATGGACTTAATCTCTAACCAGAATTTATTTAGCACTCAAATAGCAAACTTCAGTATGTTGACTAAATATTTCAACTGGAAATCAATAAAAAAGAAGTAAAAACTGTTTAGATTAGCTTTAGTGCATTCGTTTACTCTATAGCAATTAATAATTTACTTTTTTCAACTCAAACACGCATACACATATTCAAGGCCACGTATAGTTGATTCAGTAAATTGTCAACAAAAAAAACTTACCTCTAGCCTATAAGCACATCTCTGCAAATACATTGTACATCTGTTTACATATATCTATGCATAATTAATAATACTAGACCTATTAAAAGAATATCGCATGATCAGGATATGCTTAAGAGTTTAGTTACCAAAATCCAGATTCATTTGTGCATTTGTACTCTAATGACAATGTTTACTGGAGGTTATTTGAGCGGAGATAAATGATGTCAGGATTTTAAAAACTGGTAAGTCATAAATAGTTGTTATTTCACTTGAATATAAATCCAAAGATTTTAAGTTTTTAACAAATATACTTTCACTTAAGACAACCATTCACTTGTGTAAAACCCCTTTGGTAAACGAATCCAAATACTTTCAGAAGGTGTAGACATTAATTGTGTTAATAGTCACTTAAATATGATTTAGTTACAAGCGTGGTGTAGGAAAAGTAGTAAGCCTGTTTGCAGTTTGAATGATTCGTAATACAGTTTAGATGGTGAAGAGATGGTTTTTAAAATTGCACACCTTTTAAAGCTAATTCCTGAAGGAGGTATGATTCTCGGGTGGACTAATGAAGGGGAACTTCCTCCTCCATTGTTTTATAACTTGCGTTTACCTAGTTCGTTTATGATTGGTACTACCACTTATACATCTTTCCTTATTGTTATTATTATTATTATTGTGAACAAGTGGGGAATTTAATTAACACTCGGTCCATTTTACCATTTACATAATCCATATTAAATGATTTATTACGCAATCTTTTGGTAAAGATTTGGTCTATACCTATCACTCTATATCATATGTATTTGTTCTGATTATTGATTTTGTAATTTTAATTGATCTACAAATCATTTTAACTTAACACTGTATGTTAGTCACTTCGACACTGAGAAGAATTATTCATTTGTGTTCCGCTGGGTGCAAAGATTGTAGTTCTATTATTACATATTTATTCTGACCAACGATCTCACACTTTCATTTGTGTTTTCTGTTTGAATCTTCCTAACTGATTAGAGGCTGATTAGCTGCAATCCTCGATACTGGTGGAAAAATTCATACAACCAATACAAATTAATTAAACCTCACCTCATTGCACAAGCCAGGGGTTATCTGAACTCAGTAGCTATGTGTATAACGCGATGGAGTTTTAAGTCTGCTTACTGACTGGTTAGTAATACTCTTGTATATTAATGGAGCCGATGAACATACATACTAGGTTCTACGTTAAGACTGACTGATTAACTGAGTCTCTGGACAGTGCTATTAATTTGATTTCATGCTATATAATTATTTATATAAATAACTTGTTATGCTTCTCTTAAAGCGTTGTTGTTATGACTAAGAACTTAATTGATTTCGTCTTCTAGACTCGCTAATCAAAATGTTGACTGGGAATAATCACAACTCTTATTGGTCACGAACGTATACTCTTCAACCAGCCCAACCTTCAGTACTATAATAGGACACAGCAAGCAGTAGTGCATTAGTAGTTTGATTGTCATCAGTCTCAAGCACTCATTAGTTTATATGCACGAATTATTACCAGACTGCAGCATACTCCAAGTGTGAAATATTACCGAAAGTTCTGAAGTCTTAAACACTTGCTTAATCATAATATTTATTTAATCCAAATACCTTGCTAAGTATTAGA